CTTGAGAAATGATTAATCATTGCATGTTTTAAGGCAAAAATGCCAATAATTCTCCGTTGTAGTTTCTTTAATATTAATATTGGCTTTTTTTAATTTTATGCATTCTTCCCCTAATGCGAAACAAATAGTCATTAGTTGCAGCCCTTTGATTGAATATCTTGTTGCTGTGTTGTTGCACTTTTCCCTGTGTGATGGTCTGATGGTAAACCGGGTGTGTTCTCGGTTTGTTAAGCAATCTCTGGACCCTCCTCGTCCTCCGGCGCTCGGCACAAACCCAGGCCAGACCGAGAGGCCGGCAAACAGATTGAAAGAGTGAGGGGAAAATATGTTGGGACATTCAGTGACGCTCTCACACACGCTCTCTCAAACACACCCTCTCATTGACGAGGCCCTGCTCTCTCCTCCTGCTCGCCTGCCAGTTGACATCCTCTCTATTAATTTGAGTCGCCGTTCTGCTTTCTCAGTCAACCCCCCCACCCCTCCATAAACCCCCTTCACCCATCTCACATCAATCCATAAAGGCAAGGAACCCCCACCACCCCCTCCTCCCTGCCTCCAGAAACTCTCCACACACTACTCCCAAACCTCTTGGTCATTGAGCCCCCCCCCCTTCTCTTTGGTCATTGAGCAGGGCCCATCAGCTCTTCCCCGGGCCCTTCAGAGTAGCGTCTCCCCTTTCTCCTGGGGTCCACGGGGTCTTTGTCCGTGCACCGGCTCACTGCTTTACAATGACTCTCCACTCTATTAAGGTGCGTTCTGCCTGTTAACGTCGCCAGGGGCAACCGGCCTCCCGCATGGCAGCTATGCAGCGTGGCATTGTGGGCCGCGGGCCCGAGCGGGGCAGTTGAACCCCCGGCACTCCTCACACTTGACACCGCAGGGGTAGTCACACAGGGGTCGTGGTGGGGGGGTAAACCAGAGAGAGCGGGGGGGGGGCACGGGGTGTAAAAAGACGTAAAACTGGGGGAGGAGGGCAAGAGGGGAGTTTGGGGAGGTGATAAATATTCAACAGCTCAGCTCCTCAGAAGGAGTTACTACCCTGCTACCCCTCCACCACCTCCTCCCCTCCTGTGTGTCCTCTCCATGCCAGAAAGCAGATGGAATGTGAGAGCTCAGGGAGGAGGCTCCAGTCTGGTTTTATCCAATTAGCAGGGTTGTCAAAATGAATTTATCCACGGAGGCAGGGGGACAATGGGACCGGCAGTGGCCCGGGAGAACAGGGGCCCCGGTGTCTTTACTTAGCACGCTCACAATGAACTTCTGTCAAGTGACTCTCTACCACAACGACATATAAGGCACTCACATACTCAAACTCACGATGCATGCCTGCACACCACCGCCGAAACCTTCTCCTTGTCCTCCCAGCGATACGTACACCGCAGACGTCGCACTTGAATGCGCCCCCAGACACCTGTGTTCAGAGCGGTTTCTTAAGTCTTTTGAGTTGGGTCCAAGTCAAGTCACAGGTTATTCAAAACAAGTCCAAGTCAAGTCTTAAGTCCTTGAGGGGAGGTGCAAGTCAGGATTTCACAAGCAAAATACAAGTCAAGTTGCTCTCAGGTCTTTGAATGCTGACCATTACAATGACACAGCCTTTGAGCATTTTCTTGTGTTGATAGTAGAGATGCCCCTACCCAACCTTTTTCTCACACAATACTGATTCTTACACCTCGACTCCGGGTATCTGAATACCGATCTAATACCACCGCTGTCTTTTTCCCAAATTTAAATCCTGTATTCCTCACTGCATGGAGGGGGGGGGGGGTGGCACTAAAAATGAAGTGGACAAACCGGAGTTAGTGAATACATATAACTTAAAGTGGAAAAACACTGTTTCAATTTTTTTCATTAAACAAGAGGCTAAAGTTCTCAAATGATAAATGATGCCTAAGTTGGCATTGAACGTCTCATCCGAGTCTTATCTTCAGGCAGTTCTTGGAAAACAGCAGCAGACGTTTGAGTTTCAACACACAGCCCCACCTGGTGTTGCCTTATGTTTTTTTTTTTTTGTTTTATTTTTTAATTATTATTCCAGCATTTTATCATTTTTTTTCTCTCTTGCCTTCTTGCTGTTAAGTCAAGTCTTCTGGGAGTCTCGCTGTAGTCAAGTCAATTCCTCACCATGATTGCAGAAATAGTTCTGCTCTCCAGTAATCATACTTCTGCACTGGAACTGGCAGATCTGAAAAGTTCACACAGTTCTCCTCAATGCACTGTCACTGAAGTATGTTTTAATACCACAAAGCTGCTCACGCTGAGTGTCTGCCACGCAGTGCTTTTCGTTACTGGTAAGAAACAACACACGCACACACACACACACACACACACACACACACACATTCTCCCGGTTCTTAATTTAGTGGAGCTGTCTGTGTGTATGCTCTGGTTTTTATCAGTCTCGCTGGTGTGTAGGAGGCTCCTCTCTCTCTCTCTTGTCTGTGACTTCTCTGGGAGGGGATGGATGGAAAAAGTTGGACGTAGATGTCAGGCCAGCTTTTCATCTTGTTGCAGGGTATCTGCTAAACAAACACAGGACCCAGCTGACTAATGAATCAGACAGACAGGCTCAGAGGAGTAAGGCTGTTTCTTGGGGAGTGATGATGTACGAGGGGCCTTCTCGTACTGCTTTTACAACAAAGCTCTATCTCTGTTTCTGTCTCTCTTCCTGTCTCACTGTCTCCACTTTTATTTTGAAGTCAAAGAGACAGAAATTGGACAGGTAAAAAGCCTCAAGCCTGTGGCAGCGTGTCCCGCTGTGCGTCCAGTTGGCAGACTCACTGGTGTGGTTTACGGTTAGTGACTCTCGCAGTTGGGACAGGTGCTTGATACAGATGTATGTGTCTTTTATGGGCAGCTGTCCCGGGTTGTGTCCATACAGCAACCGGCCACAGAAGCCACAGGCCTTCAGCTATGCTGGCTCCTGGTCCCACAGTAGCTTGCTGTTTGTTTACCAAGTCAGCCCACTACTGATGGGACACTCTGACTGGACCAGTGTGTAAATGCAACTGGACATGTATGTAGGGCTGCAACTAAGGATTATTTGCATCACTGGAAATGCCGAAACCAACAAATTTCCACATTCGAAAACAGCTATAATCAATGTTTATCTTATTATATTCACAATCAATCACCTGACTACTTGCATATGAAAGGGTCACTCACGCCACCATTCCCCTCAGCTCTGTTTTAGCATCTTAAAGCTCATTGTTTTTGTTTTCGGGCCCACAACGTATATAAGTTTGATTCAGTCTCATAGTTCTCATCAGCTTCGTTTTCAGCCACAGCGAGCAACAAAAAAAGCTCTAAAAATCCACCGTACACTGCCTGCCCAGCGCTAAACGACTAGCTGGCGAAGGTAGTGGAGCTTTTGGCAGCCAAATAGTGAGAAATCCTTTTCAGGAGTTGGTGGAGATCAAAACGGAGCTAAAAGAAGAGGGAATATTGGACCGAGCCTCCAAATTAATGCTAATGTTGCTCCCTATATGCTGGATGTGTAAATAGGTAACCTCTGCTAATAAGTTAGCCATATCAAGTCATTCTTGTTTCTGCTGCCCCCTGGTGGTAAAGAAATCATGTTATGATTTAAATAAAGCGACTGTCGATTCATCACCTAACTGACTAATTGTTACAGCTATTCTGGAGAGTGGCCCCGCTGTTGGTGGCGTTAAAATTAGTCAAAGATTGTTTACACGCATTCATAATATGAAATTAAAATCTAGCAGGGTAATGTGAGGCCTTGTGTGTCAGTTGGCATAGTTAACGGCTGCTTTTCCATCAGCATGCTGCTTTGCTCATTTTCAGTAAATGTGCCAGGCAGCTAAACTGCTGCCATTAGATGATGAAGGTGCGCTGTAAGAGTTTCCATTCTCTTACTGTCCTGCTTTGGTCCCTCGTGTGTTTTGTGCGAGTGTGTGTAGTCCCTAGTCCCTGGCCTTCATTAATCATTGCCTTGCCATAATAAGATCAGGACAAATATGTATGAGAAAGTCGTGCGCTGCTTCCATTTTTACTGTAGCGACGCAGGTCTGTTTATGCCCTTGAGTGTGTGCATGTTTAGCGACATGTATGTATATGAGAGAGAGAGAGAGGGAGAGAGAGGGAGAAAGAGAGGTTCAGTTTTGCAGGACCACCCTCCTCATTCTGACGGGAAGTTGTTAGTTTAACCTGACAGGAAAGAATTCGGGAAACTTGGCAGCAAGCGACAAGGGAGAGAGGAAAGCTCCCCTCTCTGCATTAACTGTTAATAGACTGACCATAACCGTGGTCTTCTCCATTTCCCTCCCGATGCATACTGCACTGAAGTATAAAGGAGCTCACCTCCCCTCCATCCCACACACATGCACGCTGCTGTGATACCCCCCCCACCCCCCACCCCCTCCCGTCCTGTCTCTCATTAGTTGTTCTTTGTCCCGACTCTTGAATGCAGCCTGTGTATTTCCCCTCCTCCCTCCTCCTGGACCATCTACCTGTATCGGTTACACCTGAGCGGGGAGGTGGAGGGGTCGGGTTACGGCCCGCAGAATGAGGGCGCCCCTTTGATGAATGGAGGGCTGGATGGGTGCGGGTACAGGCGGAGGAGATGGGGTCAGCGGTGAGATGGGGGCTGACAGAAAAGAAAAGCTTTATTTGTGTCTGGAGTTTGGCTGCTGAGGGTGCTGCTGAGGGTGCTGCTGAGGGTGCTGCTGAGGGTGCTGCAGAGTGCGCCGCCTCACCTGGGTTGTGTTTCTTTAATGGCTGCCCGTTTGTGTATGTGTGTATACAAATAACATAGAGGTAGAGAGAACGGGTTATGTATGAATTCAAGATTGAATGTTTAAATGGATGATGCATGTTTCTGTGTTGAACTGTGGTGATTGTGTTTTCTGTGCAGTTCTGTGTGTGTGTGCGTGTGTGTGTGTGTGTGTGTTTGTTTCAGGTTTAAGCTGTTTGTTCAGAGTGAAACAGGTCTGTAAATGCCTCCCTAACCTTCTCCTGTGTGTGTGTGTTTGTGTGTGTTTCAGGGGGGTAGTGTATGGAAGATGTCTGGAAAGCGAGACTGGACTCCGTGGATGAAAAAGAGAAGGGCTCCAGTGTTGTGTGCTCTGGGTGCAGTACTACTCTGCTGCCTGCAGAGTGGCGCCTCCGTCTCCGGTGAGTACACAAAATTAGATGTTGAAAAGCATAATCTGCATTAAAAAGCATAAGTGTCCATTAATGTGCACTCATGGTACACACCACAGGCCCTATGTGTGCTCTTTGTGCTCAGAATGCCTTTACATTAGTCTTTCCAAACACCTGGTGCAGGATAAGTCCTGCCAGGGACAAAATATTCTGGCTCACAGGGAGGGAGGTGTTTTATGTGCCTGGCAGCTGCAACAGCAGTTTGATTGAGATGAATCTGAAGACGTAGGTAGTTTACATGAACTGTTCCAACCACCGTGGGTGAACTGAAAAAGAAAAAGAAACATTGTATGATTTGCCCATTAATTGATTAATCAGTTGAAAGAAATTTGGTGACTGTTTTGACGATCAATCAGGGTTTTTCCAGGTTCTGAAAAGTGAGAATTTCCTGCTTTTCTAGGTTTTACATCGTCATAAATTTAATGTTCTTGAATTTTTTTTTTTTATTATATATCATAGTTTTTTTTATAAACACTGGTCGGGCAAAACAAGACGATTAATGATCATCGTGTGCTCTAGGATATTATGATGGGCATGATTTTATTTACAGTTAATCAGCAGATTAATAGACAATGAAAACAGTTGAAGTAAAGACGAAGTAAAAACAGTAACATTTTGAATCTGCTCCTAAACTGCTTTGTAAAAATCTTTTCCTCAGATGAGGTTCCGGCCTTCACTGAAGAACCCATGTCCGTGGTGCAGAAGCTGGGGGGCAGCGTGAACCTCCGCTGCAGCGCCCGACCTGCCTCGGCCAACATCAGCTGGCGCCTCAACGGCCAGGAGTTGGTGGACGGAGACCTGGGTGTGGTGCTGGGGCCCAGTAGCCTGTTCATTCCCACACTCTCCAACCTGACGCTGGGGAGATACCAGTGTGTGGCCGGCACCGGCGCTGGAGCCCTGGCCAGTGTGCCTGCTAACGTCACCGCTGCCAGTGAGTAGCCACCCACACGAAGCTGCGACAAAATAAACACAAACACACAGGCCCCTGTTGGCCCCTTTTTTGGTTTGTCGGAGTATCCGAAGAACGCCTTATGACTTAATTTTCTTGTAGTAGAACAGAAACAGTGAAGGGGTGGTATTTGTTTGCTTAGAATCCTCACCAATACAACGCTGTAAACCTTGTAGTTTTCCACTGCCTCTGGCAGGTCTGAGTCCGATGCTTACAAAGGCAGGGCTCCAGTTTTGGTGGGAAACTGTTGCACATCGATTAGTGATAGAACTGGACAGTATTTATTCAGTGTGGTTAGAGAACAGCTGCTATCTTATTGATCTAATGGAGCTAAAGTGAGTTATTCACCATGCTGACATTTTTAGTGCTTTGCTGGTCCGAGTGTGTGGTGTTATATTTGATACGCATCATGGGACTGAGAAGGGGGGCCTGAGGCTGTGTAACGTGAGCCGGAGGAATGGAAGGGACCCAGGGGCCGGGGGCCAGGGCCAGTCAGAGCAGAGAGAGGGGACCAGAACTCAGCCTGGGGGGCCCCCTACCTCCACTGGCCCCTCTTCTCCCCACAACACCACATTCCTCTCCACAGGGCGCGACAGCAGGGCTCGCCAGAAATTATGGCCCCGTAATTGGGTAGAGGACTGAGGGAAGATAAGGGTGTGTGTGTGTGTGTGTGTGAGTGAGTGAGTGAGGGGATGGACGGAGGATATGGGTGTATGCCTGACTAAAACACAGCATTGTGTAAAAAACAGAGAACTGTTAACTGTATTGTTTTACATGTAGAGATGTGATGCATGAGGCTGCCATAGCTGCATAAACCGGAGGTGTTTCAGGCCAGTCGAGACAAGATCCCTCCACAAGATGAGACGTGATGTCACATTCTCTGTCTCCCTCGAGCCCTCCGCAACCTTACACACACTCACATTTCTCTTCCTTCACACATTTTTCACTCCTCACCCTGTCACTTTCTCTCCCACCTTCCCTCCTTTCATTATCTTTCACTTTCCCTCCTCTTTTGTCATCTTCACCTCGTGTTATTATTTTCCTTCTCTCTTCTGCAGAGTGATACTTTGTCAAGCTGTGATTATATGAGAGAGTGTTTCGCACATGTACAAAAGCATTTAAAGTTATTGATAGCTCCAATAGTGGATGAATCGTGTTGAGATAACCACATGTGGAGCCAGACTGGTCGCCCCCCCCCCAAAAAACTTCTCTAATTTAATAACGGTCTCTCCTCGGCCACCCCTAAACCGCCTAAGGAATTGCTCCACGGGGATTGTGTACGTGCCTGCCTTCCCATGTGAGCCCTCTCAGTTGTGTGCACATGTTTTTTGTGATCAGGATAGGTTGATTCCAGACCCTCCGCGCCATCCCACTCTGAAGAGTCTGTGCTTTTCTGGCATAAGTTAAAAGGCTCCTTGCTTGAATTCTTGTGCAGACAATCGCCCTCCCTCTTTTAGCTGCAGAAAACAGAAGACATGTATCTGCACAACGCCAACGAACAACACATTGCACAAACATGTTATAATTCAGATACACGCACGCGGGCCTCCGACTGCTACACATAAAGATGATGAATGCGCTGTGTCTCTAGAAGTATTTAAGTCTGCCTTGCCAAACAGCCCTGGTGCGGGAGGTCTGCTTCACTTTATGAATACCATCAATCCTCCGTCCCTGTAGGATACACACACACACACACACACACACACACGCAAGCACGCACTCATGTGTACACTCACGTACATGCATGCACACCTGAGAGGCACACATGCGGGGTTGTTCCTGTAAAGAATGCGGGGCAGTGGAGTGGGAGAGAGGTAGAGGTTGGGTGGGGGGTTAAAAGGTGTAACTGGAGGAATTTGGTAGAAGTAGGAAGGAGGGATGGGTAGATATGAAAGGGGGAGACAGAGTGGCTGTAAAAACAGCACCTTGATTGATTTAGCAAATGGAGCGCCACACGGTCTCTTGAAGCCCCCCCCCCCCCCCCCCCCAACACACACATATACCACTTAGCTTGACATGTCCTGGCTGGGATTCTCATTTTTCAGAATAAGAGCTGAAACTGAGTCAAAGATGGAGTTGTGTGTGTGTGTGTGTGTGTGTGTGTGTGTGTGTGTAGACCCTGATATCCCCTTTTTCTGCCATTAACCCCCCCCCCCCCCCCCCCCCCCCCAACCCTCCACAGACACGGGGACAGATCCAGCATGCATGGTGAATAAATCAGTTGCCTGCAGTGAAGATGTTTGTTTAGTGCTTTGAGTAAATCACTGTGATGTCCCTATCAGTAGATACCCTGGCCTTAACTAAACTTTGCTTATCGAATTACAGCTGTATACAAAGGCTCATCAGCTGACTGTATATATACCAGCAGCTTGGTCTTTTTGCCAGAGAGCGTGTGGCTGGTCCAAGAAAAACACACCAGTTATAGCACCTCTGGAAAGAATGGAGAAAGGCTGTGTTTGTTAAGAATAAATCAGCAAGGCTGGTAGATGTTTAATTACGTTCCTGGAGAGGTTTTATTTATCTTTCATTTCACTGCTGGACTCCTGCATGACAAATTTCTCCAGTTGTTACTTTCTTTTTCCCCCTCCTGTACTGCTCCCTCTCTTTTTTTTTTTTCTTTTCTCAGTCTCATTTTAGTTTCCTTCTACTTCAAATCTATAAAATGCTAGCATATCCCCCGCTAAGATTTTTATGGGTTTTTGTCTTTTTCCTTCAGCCTCTTAAGAGCAGAGTTTTGCCGTTTCCTCCCCAAAACCCAAACTGGATATCTTTCTTTGAAACTCTATAGGATGGACACCTCTAACCTTTGACCTTATGGCCAGGCCTCTGAGCCGCTCAGGCGGGGGTTTAGGAGGTCAGAGGTCGGCTGAGTGTCTGTGCTGTGCAGACTGTGTGTCTGTGGGACACAGTTGCAGCACATGGCCCCAGTAATCGCACTCCTCCATTTCCCAAAGAATCTGAACGGCCCCGGTCCAAGTATAATGTCGGACAGGATTAACGACACCCACTCGAATGTTACAGACACCACCTTTAGGCTTTGGAGTCCAAAGAGACTGAGGAATGAGTAAAACAGAAAAATTGGCCGGTGTGTCTTTTTTTTAAAAATAAATTTTCTTTGGTCTTTTTAGTGGGATCATGTTAAGACAAGCAATGGGAAATACATTACTAAATGGAGGAAGAAGAGGTTTTACTTTCAAAGAGAGAGCTCCTAAGAGAAGTTGTGGGAACCTGGTTATGATACAATGGGGACAGGCTGACGTGAGGGACACTTGATATGGAAACAACACAGTTATTACAGAGTTTATTATTGCTCAGATCAATGCGGGTTTTCTTCTCCTACAGCCGAGGACTGACTGTATACACAGTTCAGTTAGATGTGATCTACACGGTGTTGTCACCTGCCTCACTTCAGCATTTCCTGTCATCCGGCTCCCAGTCAGTAATTTTCCTTTCACCCTGTTCTCCTGCACCTCCCTGCATCACCTCCATTCACCTGGTCGCACAGCTGGCCCTGATTACACAAACCCCAGCCTTCCAGTCTTCTCCCCATGCGACACTCTCCAGCGTTTCTTGGAATGATTCCCTGATGCCGAACCCGTTTGTCCCCAACTCTCCAGGTCTACCACGAGGATTTCTCACTGTTTTTTTTTTTTTTTGGATTAACCTGTCAGCTCCAGTTTCTGCCTTAGTAGAAATAAAAGCCCCTACAAACTGTTTTTCTGTTGTACTGTGTGCTGTATTTGGGTCCCACACTCGCCCCGTTACAAGTGTATTAGGATGATGGAAGAACGCTGAACTGACTTTTTTTTTTTCTCCCTTGCCTGTGTGTTGTGTTTTTTTTTGTTTTTTTTTTTACAGAGTTGCGGGACTTCGAGCCCGACGACCAGCAGGAGATCGAGGTGGATGAAGGCAACACGGCAGTTATTGAATGTCACCTCCCGGAAAGCCAGCCCAAGGCTCAGGTCCGCTACAGTGTCAAACAGGAGTGGCTGGAGACATCTAAAGGTTACTGAGATGCTTCATTTCATTAGGATCTCTCTCTCCCTCTCTCTCTCTCTCTCTCCCTCTCCCCCTACTTCCCTGTTGATTCCCATACTATCTTCATAATTTACCGGAATGCTATAATCCTGTTATCAGACCCATTATAAAACCAGTGATAAGGGTATTATCTCAAATGTTGAAACATGGGAATGCAGTTGTTTATTTTTCAAACTATTTACTTCTAAGTTGCCTGGAAGAGAAGAAAAGCTCCGGTGGTTTGTGTCTGGTATGCTGATGATGCCTGGGAGCTCTAGGTACTGATGTCTGCAGCTTATCTGTGAGGAAATGAATCCCACTTTCATGAGCATTCACCAACTTTTCCTGGTCAGACTCTAGACTGCCACCTTGTGGCCTCTGCTGATGGTGCAGACATGCGCTGGAATGGCACATAGGACTCATGTTACATGTGTTTCAGAATAAGATTTTTCTGTGGTTCCTCTTTGTCTTAGTCGTGTCCCTGTATTTTGACACGTATATATTTCCTCCTATATTCCTGCCTCAGGATTTAAACTTGTACATATTGCAGTAAGCTGCAGTGTTGTTGTCTAGCCGACTGTCCTCTGTGAACCATTTGCACCGAACCAAATTTGCTCTCCAGTGTGATTTTAAAAACTTAATTTATGTTTTGCTGTACAGCTGTGACACGTGCATTTTACAATTTTGTATTGTGGAAAGATTGAAACAGATCACACACACTAGGAGAAGATCTACTCTAACGTGCATTTTTAATATTGCACATGAGCCATTTTAGCTCAACCTAAAGAGTATGTTCCCCTGCATTTTACTTCATTTAACAAAGAAACCTTTCAGTTGGGGTTTCCTGATGGCTGAATGGTAAAAGGTGCACGGCTCACAACTCCCTATGTCCCTGGCTTTATTCTGGCCTGGGACCTTAACTGCACGTCATATCTCTCTCCCCTTGTTTCCTGTCTGCCTCTGAATCTCTGTCTTCAACCTACGAAAAGCCGTAACTGTCCTGAGAAGCCATATTTTGCCACAAGTGATTCATTTATAAGTTTGTCAAACCCACACTTGACATGTTTTTTTTTTGTTTTGTTTTTTTTTCCCTGCAGGGAACTACCTCATCATGCCGTCAGGGAACTTGCAGATAGTCAACGCCACGCGGGACGACGAGGGGCCGTACAAGTGTGCTGCCTACAACCCCGTCACTCAGGAGGTCAAAACATCCACCTCTGCCGATCGCCTGCGCATACGCCGTGAGTCACCATCTCATCACACTGATGTTGAGACAGAAAAGCAAGTTTTCTTATTATTGGCATAACTTGCTCCAATTAAAAAAAAACAAAAAAAACATGTGGAACAAGAAGTCAAGGGTCATTCTGAAAAATTCACTGCTCATTTAACAAGAACCTACATCAGAAAACATTAAAGGCATTGTTAGAGAGCTTGTAACTTTTACTGTAGGAATATGTGGTGCACATGTGTCTCACACGTGCCAGTTTGTGAGACTTTTATCATCTGATCTTGCCAGGACGCATTTAGTCACAGGTGATGACGTGCACAATTCATGCTGTTGCATCTTCAAAGGCAAAGATGGAAGTGGTTAAGTTCTTTGTATTGTAGATGTAATCTCAGCCACAACAGGTGTACAAGCAGTTAGAAGAAACAGACAGGCGGGAAAAGTTTTTATTTTTATATATTTTTTTTTAATTCATGTCCTGACTGTCTCCATTTTTATTTTTTCCCCAGGCTCCACGTCGGAAGCGGCTCGTATCATTTACCCGCCGGCGTCCCGGTCCATCATGGTGACCAAAGGCCAGCGGTTGGTGTTGGAGTGCGTTGCCAGCGGCATCCCTACTCCGCAGGTGACGTGGGCAAAAGATGGGCAGGACCTGCGTTTCCATAACAACACACGCTTTCTGCTCAGCAACCTGCTGATTGATGCGGTGGGCGAGGGCGACTCGGGGACATACATTTGTCGGGCGGACAACGGTATCGGCTCAGCCAGCTCTGCGACGGTGCTCTATGACGTACAAGTGTTTGGTGAGTGAAGTAGAGTTGTTTTTAGTGTTGTTGTGTATCTGCTCGTGTTGGTGAACTGTCCATGGTTTTTTTTTTTTTTTTTTTTTTTCAAATAAATTTTGTAAACTAATTTCTGATGCACGTTCCTGTAACGGCTTTTCCTGGTGATAGGAGACTCTGCCAGGATTCTTTCATGGGTAAAGTTTTGACTGTGTTATGGATTTCATGATTAGACTGACTCCTGTTTGGCGGACAGAAGACGGGGCTCTGTATGTGTGTGCGCGCTCGTGTGTATGCGTGTGTGTATGCGTGTGTGTGTGTGTGTTGTGTGGTGTGTGAGAGAAGCGTGTAAGCCTGGCCGGTGTTGTGTTAGAAAGCGTCGGTGGAGACAGAGCCCTCTATTCTGTAGCAGAACTTGATTGACTGTGTCTAGGTTATGGATGACTGTTTTTACAGTGATTTTCTGTCTGTGTGTATGTGTGTATATGTTTTTGTGTGTGTGTGTGTGTGTGTGTGTGTGTGTGTGTGTTGTGGGCTTGTTTCTCTGCAGCTGGCTCTAATTAAAGTCGAGAGCTGCTGTAGCTGTAATGAGCTCTGTCTTTCCCTGATTCATAAGCAGCCAACCATCAACTAGCTGGCTCGGCCCGCCTGGCTCTGCATAGCCCCTTCCTTTGTCATATAGCCTGTACTTACACATGCGCATGGTTATGATTTCAGTCAGACACACTTTCTCTTACGCATGTGACATTGTTAGAGCTGAAATTAGTTAATTGACAACTATTATGATTGTCAGTGATTGTTTAAGTCATTTAACAAGCAAAAATAGCAAACATTCATCTGTTTCAGCTTTAGATGTGAGGATTTTCTGTTGTTATAATTGTAAATTGAATATTTTGGGGTTGTAGACCTAGTTAGACGAAACAAATAATTTGAAGATATAAACTCAGGCCCAGCCTCTGCAGCCTGTTTCTGTCTCTGACTCCCACTTCTCCGCTGTCTCCTTCAGAGCCTCCTCAGGTGACGGTGGAGCTGCAGCAGCAGGAGGTCGTGTATGGAGAGACTGTTCGCTTTACATGTCAGACCCGCGGTAAGCCCACTCCGTCGGTGATGTGGCTCCACAACGCCCGGCCCCTTGCCCTGTCTCCTCGCCATCGCCTCACCTCCCGGCTGCTGCGTGTCTCCAACGTGGGCCCCCAGGACGACGGGCTGTACCAGTGCATGGCTGAGAACGGGGTCGGCAGCTCACAGGCCTCCGCTCGCCTCATCACAGTATCAACTGGTAAGTCGTGTAGTTTTGTAATTTGTCAGAGATTTTAATTTGGATTTTTATTTTACAGCTTTTACATGTAATTAATTCTGTCTCTTATAGGGATTTCACCCAGGGGGAAGTTGCCCTCGATCTATCGGCCACTCAGCCCAGACAAGGTGCTAAGAGAGCAGCCCCCTGTGAGGCCTGGGGCTGCAGGCGCCATGTTGCCTCTGGATTGCTCTGAGCTACCAGGACAGATCCTTCCCGCGGAAGCCCCCATCATCCTCAGCCAGCCACGCACAGGCAAGGCTGACTATTACGAACTCACCTGGAGGCCGCGGCATGAGCGAGGAGTCCCTGTTCTGGAGTACATGATCAAATACAGAAAGGTACTGCAGGGAACTTACTCTCAGACTCAATTAAATGATGTATTAGCTGCTTCATATTCAAACTGCACATTTTCTGTGTCAGTAACTGAGTCCTCTGTCTCTCTCTCTCTCTCTCCCTGTCAGGTGGGAGACCCTCTAGCAGAGTGGACCTCCAGCAGTATCGCAGGCTCTCTCCATAAGCTGACCCTGACTAATCTGCGGCCAGACAGCCTGTATGAGGTGGAGATGGCTGCCAAGAACTGTGCAGGTTTGGGACAGCCTGCTATGATGACCTTCAGGACCGGCAAAGGTACGACACTGTCAGATCAGTCATAGAGTACAAGAATGTCCGTAGCAACCATGTTGGTTCCCCACAGTTTGATATTTGTGTTTTTTTGGGGGTTTTTTGTTTGTTTTTTTTCCTACCTTGGCAGTGTATATATTGAAAGCTTGAATATAGCTTATTCCTCTGTGCCACAAAAATCCATAGTTGACTNGCCATGTTGATTCCCCACAGTTTGATATTTGTGTTTTTTGGGGGGGTTTTTTGTTTGTTTTTTTTCCTACCTTGGCAGTGTATATATTGAAAGCTTGAATATAGCTTATTCCTCTGTGCCACAAAAATCCATAGTTGACTAAAGGGCACTGTAGTTTATTTGTAGTTTACATACACCATCCTGCAGCTGTAAAAACTCATTAGTGCTCTAAATGTGTATTAATCCGCAGCTAAAAATAGTCCCCAACAAATGTGCTATTAACTCCTGTTAAAGTGAGGTTTAAACTACAGTGTCCAGCTCTTTTTTGAAAATATGTAAGGCTTTTTTCAAACTGAAGGGATATACTCACAAGTCATTCTTAAAGATTTACGTCTTGTGTAGGAACAATTGGGCTTGAGGCTGAGAGCCACAATGCTCATGGCAATTGTTGACAAAAACAAAACTACAGAATATCACCAGTGTTATCCTTTTTTAAACATTGCTCAGAATACTTTTTCTTCCTCTGACGTCACTGTTGATGTTCCTCTGCCTGCAGGTCGTGGTCGTGGTTTAGGTGGTCAAAATGATCCGCCGAAAACTCCAGCTGTTCCATCGCCAAGCCTTTCGCGTAAGTATCCGGTAGCTTCTCTGCTCCTGTGACAAATTCCCTCCTAATTAACAATACTAACAACATCCACTTCTGCTGTGATAACTATAAGTAGATATTGTTTTAGAGTAAGACTGTCAACCTCTAAACATTCTCCTTTTGACTAACATGGATATTTCTCAATTTCTCTTTCCTTTCTGTCACTGAAGGATGATCTCTCAGTAAGTTGAATGTGATGTGTTTTTGCCTTCACTGTTGTAATTACAGAATGTCTGTGAGTTTATGTCTGTTGTTGTTGTCTTCCGTCTGACACCACTTCTCCTCCTCTGCAGCTCCCGAGGCTCCTGACAAGCCCACAGTCTCCACGGCAACGGAAACGTCGGCATACGTGACTTGGATTCCTCGTGGTAACCGCGGCTTCCCCATCCAGTCATTTCGGGTGGAGTACAAGAAGGTGAAGAAGGCTGGAGAGGACTGGGTGACGGCAGTGGAAAACATCCCCCCGTCGCGGCTCTCTGTGGAGATCACGGGCCTGGAGAAAGGTCGGCCATCTTCACCCACACTTAAAACATTGTTGTTGTTCACAGCAGTTTATTCTGACTTGTTGGGGGTGGGGGGGTGGGGGAGGGGGGAGTATGATATTGTACTATATAATTACAAGGATGATGTCCTGTGTAATTACATTCCCACGGCCCGTAAATTCATCAGTATAATGAGTGTTGTTACAGTCATTTCAGTAATTGCTGCCATCAATCAAAACCATAATTGATTTGCAATCAACATCACATTTGCTCTGAAAAAAGAAAACACAAAGTAATGTGAAAACAAACATCATTAGTCAGCACACAAAACAGAGCTTCGTTCAGTGCCGCTTGTGGCCCCCAGAGACAGATTAGTAACGGTTGTCCCGTCTCCCTGTAGGTACGTCTTATAAGTTTCGTGTGGTGGCGGTGAATGTGATCGGTTCCAGTCCTCCCAGTGCCCCTTCGAAGGCTTACACTGTGGTGGGTGGGAGAACCCACGAACGCCCTGTTGATGGACCTTATATCACCTACAATGAAGCCATCAATGAGACTACCATTATTCTCAAATGGACGGTGAGTTACTAGAAGAAGGAAAAAAAAAAAGAAAAAAGGAAGAAGAAGTTTGTTCGTGTCTACTAATAATCAGGACAGATTCAACTTTTTGGTGGCTTAAAGTTCATGGTGAATGTAACATGATTTATTTCCCTCTCGACAGTACACTCCTGTAAACAACACGCCCATCTATGGTTTCTACATCTACTACCGGCCGACAGACAGCGATAATGACAGTGATTATAAGAAGGATGTGGTGGAGGGAGACAGATACTGGCACTCAATCACTGACCTGCAGCCGGAGACCGCATATGACATCAAGATGCAGAGCTTCAACGAGAAGGGAGAGAGCGAATTTGGCAATGTAGTGATCCTTGAAACGAAAGGTGAGGTCATTTTTTTTTGGGGAGCAGATTTAGCAGATTTAGATGTTTCTGGAGGCAGCAAAGTGGGACTAACTCCGAGGATCTCAGTGTCTACTCTTTTTTTGCAAGCCTGAGCTGTTTTAACAGATTTTTTTTTTTTCTTCCCACTTTTCGTTTCCTCAGCTCGTCCTAATCACCAGCGGCCCGCTCCGTCACAGACCCCAGATCCGGGGACTGGACTCCCCACTGGACTGGTGCCGCGGCCCGGCGACCTCCCCTACCTCATAGTCGGTATAGTCCTGGGAGCCTTCGTCTTCATCATTGTCGCCTTCATCCCCTTCTGCCTCTGGAGGGCTTGGGCCAAACAGAGTGAGTGTTCCTCACATTTCTTCAAGTCTCTGCAGGAATTAAGTCTTCGCCTCGACGTGCGTGTCATTCTCCTTTTTTTTTTTTTTTTGTGCTTATTTCAGAGCAAACGTCCGACTTGTGTTTCCCTGCTGTGGCCACGCCCGTGTCGTCATGCCAGTACACCATGGTTCCCCTTCAGGGACTTGCGCTGGTTGGCCACTGCCCGCTGGACGCACACATGACTGCTCCACATGGCGTCTATCCCGCTAATGGAGAATACACTCCAAACGGCAAATCTCACCACCCGACACACTGCCTGCCGGGGCTGCAGCAGGTATGACGTTTATTCAAGCCGCTACAGGTTGTTAACAAGCTATCATCGTTAAGAAAGTCCTTTTTTTTTGTTTTTGTTTTTTTTAATAATAGTATTGATTATAGGATCTATATGCTCTTGTGCTTTGCAGGATGAAGTGGATTGTGATATGGAGTGTGACAGTTTGCTGCCAGAGACGGTGTCAAATGGACAACTGCCTGTCTACCACTACTCCACATGGTTTGTTTACATACAAAACTCATATACTGTATAATGTAATGAACCGGAGAGAAAAGATCAAATACTTTCTGAAATAATTGAATGAGGATGTAAAGAAACAAATACTCAAGGTAGAAGAAACAGGAAATCGGCCAAATCTTCAGTCTTTCTTTTTTAGATTTTGTTGATCTGCATTTAGTTGATTTCATCAGGCCATTGTCTGCTCATTGGTGATGGTTCACTATTCTTACATTTTATAAACCGATAAGACGGTAATCATAAATTGAAAGCCCTAATATAAATGTTTTTTTTTTTCTCTTCTCTTCCTTAGTGGTCCAGATCATCACGAACAGACTTGCTGTTCTCCGGATGACTCCACTCTTCGGCTCCTCAACTCTTCGCATCACCACCTCAGCTCACAGGAGCTGGGCGGTGACGGCATCTTCTGTGGTGGCGGTACAATGGAGGAGGACATCACTCAAAGTATGTGGGGTTTCTTTCCTTTTAATTATTTAAAAAAATAAATAAATAAAAAAGAGTTGAAAAGTTGCTTTTCTTATATACTGTATGATCATGTATTACAGACATTTAGATTCCAAAGATCTAGGTCTTAATGATGAAGAGTTTGGCTTTAGATATAAATAAATAAATACACTTCCTGATGAAGTCCAGGTTTAAAGATGTGATGAGATGTAGGTTGACATCCTGACTGAAGTAGAAGATTGTTTTGGCCAATATGTGTTTTTAAACCTTGTTTTCTGACCAGATCTCTTTACCTCTTTTTCTTTCTGCAGAGCGGACATCTTTCCCTCTTTTATCTCTCGAAGACGAAGGGATTTTCACCACATCCTCGTCAGCAGCCACAACACCGCAATCCCAAGATACGATACAGGAAGTGAACATCCTCCCAAATGAAGCGTCCCCTGAGGACGAAGGGAGAGACAACACAACAGATGCATAAGAGACTGGTAAACAGAAGAAAATAAGAGAAAATATTTATTTTTGTATCACAGATATTTATATATTTATGCTTTTGTACATAAGTGTCTGATTATACTGTATATAAGGTTATTTTCATATTGAAAGAAAGACTCTTTATTCATACAACCCCCTCTCACTATGTCATGGACAAAGGGAGTACCATGTTGTGATGCTGAGTTCTGTCTGCATTTCCCGAGGAGGGAAATAGGTTTGAGACGTTATTCCTCATGTGAAGACGATCAGGGGCTTCCTTTCAGTTCAGCACTTCATGTCTAGACCCTCCTCACGTCATTCCTTTTGTAGACCTCCATCTTAAATGTTTGGACCTTAGGTACTTAGCTTTACGTACGACAGAAACAAAGGGACCATTCGAAACCAGTCTGATGCTGTAATTATGAGGTGCTTTTTCGCTGTTGCTTTATCACGTTTCAGAGATACAACTGTCCGTCTGTCATTTTGTATAGCAGTAACACAAATGTATTATGCATTGTTCATCATTAACAAACTATTAACAAGTGTATGCAACATAAATCATTCTGTTTCAGTAGTGTACAAGAGATTATATATTGTATAGTTATTTATTTTTTTTTGATTTTATGCTATTTTTTTAAATCACTGAATGGGAGAGATTCTGGAAAATGTCTTTTAACTCAGTCATTGATAAGCTGAACTTTATACTGCAACCACTTCTGTTTACTCATTTGCTGGTTACCAAATGACAGCCAGGTGAGGGCGCTGTGACAGGTGTGTCAGTATTATTCTTCCCTCACAGGTCGGTGCATAAGTATTAGTCTTTTTCCAGAGACATCTGCAATCAAAATGAAGGAGATCCTGAATCCACACTCCCCTTTTCAAGTATAGCCGTTTTGTGGTTGCACATGCTGGAGCACAATTGCATGTAAATAAAAGCTTATGAAATTGATCTGTGTGTTTGGTGCATCTTTTCAGTATTGTAAGTTCAGTTACGTGTGGGAACTTAAAGGGATAGTAAGGGTTTTTGACATGGGGTAGTGTGAGGTAGTCATATATAGTTGGTACATTACCTACAGTAGATTATGATGAGCAGGGTCCAGGTTAGGAAAGCCGACACATAGCTCTGCCACGAGAATAAATGTGTTTTAGACACTTATCTTCCCGTGACAGTACTTACCTTAGGCACTACATTTTTTTTTCCCCGACCGCTTTACTACCGTATCCCTGCGCGCAATTACGCCGCTTTTTGATTTACTCAGATGACCTGCAGCTGCGGCTGTTTGGGGAAAAAAAAATGTAGTGCCACAGTAAGGTGCTGTTGCCACGGGGAGCTCAACCGCATGAAGCCTACGTTTAAACAGATGTTGAACGGTTTTAAGTGTCAAACACGATTTTTTTTAACCACAGCGACACAGCTCTGCCACCTTACCGGGGCCCCGGTCTGCTTTCCTAACTGGGACCGCGCTCATCATAATCTACTGTAGGTAATTTACCGACTTTTTATGATTACCTCACACTACCCCACGTCAAAAAAAAAAAAAAAAAACTTCGATCCCTTTAGGTCTACACATAGCTCTGTATATATCCTCAACACTATGTTCAGCAGCTGTGACATGTGGGCTGGTATTGTTTCTCTTGTGTGTGTCGTGGTAAAAGTGGAGAGGAGTTGGAGTTTGCAGCATCCTGGGGCAGAAAAAAAGTTAGTTATTGAGTTGAAGTGCCTCCTAGTGGAGCATGAGTATAATAGCAAAAGCACACAATCCCCCAGTTGGCAGGAAATACAAAGGTCTTCTTATAAACTTTATTAATCAATTTTGTATTTACAAATACATACATAATCTAACAATTCTGATATGAAACATTGGTATTTACAAAATAGCTCTTGGAAAAAAAAAAAAAACGATTCTGTACAATACAACCTGATATAAGTTAGTAAATTACATTGGTAGGTAACTGTGCAGAAGGTTTCTTTAGGACCCAGAATACACTGAATTCAAGTTCTAAACCTAAATTTGATTTTGTTTTGCTACCAAACAGTCGGTTTAACCAACACTTCAAACAAAGAACTTTAAAGGACCACATTTCCATGCCCCCATAAAATTGAAATGATTTTTGAAATATTACAAATTATAACCGATATCATACATATGCCAAAGGGAACATATTTGAAATTGTGTAAACATGTAGACAACAAAACTCACCACCAGATGGGTGTGATGTGTCATATCAACCTACAAACTGTTCATCTGGTGCTTCACCACCACTTTCTGAACTGAACATTTAAAAGAACAACACTTTCAAACAGAAAACTACACTTCACTCCTGAGCACCAGGTCATCAATATGCAGCAGGAGCTCTCCTCACACAGCCGAGCTGCCGTCGTGGCCCAAAATGTGGCTGATGTTGTGGGCAGGGCGATTGGGCTGCTTGCCCGAGTCGGCAGACGAGGTGTTGGAGAGAGACAGCAGGGGAGACATAGGCATGGCTGAGCCGTCAGTGGGCATGCCAGTGGCAATCTCAGGGAACAGAGAGGTGAGGCTGAAGTTGGATATGTGAGGGGTGATTCCAGATGAGTTGGCAATGGGCATTGGGGGCATATCTGGGAGCAAGGGGAAGCTGGCCTGGCCAAAACCCACAGGGCGAGGTGGGGAAAGGATAGAGCCGAAGCGGTTGTTGAGTGGGGGAGCGCTGCCTTTGTCGGCACTTGGGCTGGTAAACATTTGGTTGGGAAAGTATTGGAGGGTGACATCGCTGGGAAGGCTGGGGTGGGCTGCAGGAGAGTAAGAAGGATAGAAGGAGGGTAAAGTATTCTGGGGCTCCACAGGCAGAAGGGAGGGTGTACGCGAGGTGTTGGGCTGGCTGACTGGAGGGATGAATGTGGAGTTCGCATTGATGGGAGGTGGAGGATTCATCCCCCCCTCAGGAATAAAGGGGAAACCAAAGTTCTGTGTTATGTGTTGGTCGGGAACCAGGTTGTTTTCGCTAGGAACCTGGCCACTATCTGCCATAAAGCGAACGATAGTGCTGCGCCGCGCCTCTCCTCCAGACTGTGGTCGGCTCAGCAGCACCCCTCCTCCAGAGGGCAGGGGTAGGTGGCCCTCAGGCTCAAAGGGATTGCTTGGTCTCAGAGCTCCTGATCGAGGCCGGTCACCAGGTCTCAGCTTGGTGGGCTGAGTGTCCCGGGTGATGTGGCGAGAGTGCTGGCTGACAGCAGTGAGTGTTCGGGAGGGGGCCGAGGACCGGCCTGGCTCAGAGCTGCTGTGCGGGGTTGGAGGGTGGGGGAGACCTGCTCGCACACCTGGGCCTCCATGCATATTACTGCTGACCTGAGAAATATGGCCCTTATTGCCCTCTCCAAGCCGCATGGCTGGAGCCTTCTGCGTCTGGGGCACACTGGGGCTGGAGGCCTTGGCCTGTATGTCTCCTGAAGAGCTTCCAGGCACACAGCTGTACTCCATGCTGACTGGGGGACAGCACTGAACTGCTCGCTGGTGGTTGCTCTGCTCTGGAAGGTGGGGGGAAAGGAGGCTTTGCATGAAACTCTGGTGACAGCCTTCCTGCTCCCGGGACAACGCAGGTCCAACCTGTACTCCTTGTGAGCCAGGATGAGCGCCACTGTAGCCGCCACGGTTTCTGCCATCTGCTGGAGGGCCTACATTCATCCTGAACCCTCCCTGCTGCTGCCCCTGAGGGCCCCTCTGAGATGGAGGCACTGACTTAGGTGCCATGTCACTCCCACGAGACACCTGAGCCTCAAAACCACTGAGTTGATGTGCTCCTCCTCCTCCAACCATGGCTTTGAAGGGAGGACACTCTGTGACCCGCTGAACATCAGCGGACCCTGGATGATCTGAAGGCAGGCGGGTCTGTGGGTTGTGTGCAATGTTGGCCTTCCCTCGTGATGTGTCCAGGTAACCACGGAGGTCTTGCTGCTCCTGTGTGGCACCGTGGCCAGGCTGAAGGTGAAGAGCCATACGTTGCTGTTGTTCACCGCTAGTGGTGCTCTTACCGATGAGCGCCTCGGCAGAGTAATTGGAAACACGGTGGCGTTCCTGGCGTGACGGAGTGCAAGCCAGGTCAGATGACCGGGACACAGGATTGCTTGGAGGAGAGATGAGCTGCTGCTCCAGTGTCCGAGAGCTCATCATCCTCTGCATAGCGTTATGGTCCTGACCAGGCTGAGGGAGAGAAAATATAAATATCTTGAGTCTGTGCTTTTAGCTGGGTTTTCGTAAAACAATGATTGCGATAAAGCCGGGTATTATGTAAAAAAAATCATGCAACTGTGAGTCATCTACACCCCTCCAAAAGCATAAATTAAACACTCTTTCGTGGCGGTTCCCAGATAGAGATAGACACTGCTTTAAAATACTGACAGCTAGGGAAAAAATTAATTATTGTGTTTGACTTGAACTTGTGGAGTTAATGTGCAATATGCAAGGGAAACACTCTTATCAGCCACAGCCTGAAATAGGAAGTGATTATTTTTGTTGTTATGAAATCAAATATATAAATAATTAAAAATAGTCCTCACAAGTTATATGTATCAAATATTTACTATTTGGATGTACCTGGGCACAAAAATAAACAAAGCTTGTTATTGTTGTTAGGCTGTGAACAGCCAACATCTGATATGATTTGAATGGTAAATGAAAAGTAATTGATTATCAAATTTGTAATTGCTGATTTCTCTATTGATTAGTTGGTTCCACTATTACTTGTTTCTCAAATGTCTCAACTAAAAATGCCAATAAAGATACGAAGACTAAATACTACAGGAGACAATATACTTTTTCCAATCTTAATACATCATAGCAGCGTACTCTCCACCATGTGACACTACCAACCTTGAGGTGTTCCTGCTGAGCCAGGTGGTTGCTGTGGTGGGCCCTGGATCCTGCTGCCTGGGCTTCACAGCTCTTCTCCTGGTGTCTAAAGTGCTGTTGCTGCTGGATCTGCTGCTGTAGATGCTGCTGGTGTCTGGAGTGGGAGCTCTGCTGCTGCTGTAACTGCTGCTGCTGCTGCTGCTGCTGTTGGTGTTGTTGATGCTGCGTCTGGGGCTGCTGTTGGTGCGTCTGCTGTTGGTGCTGTTGGGGATGAGATTGTTGGTGTTGTGTTGGTTGTTGATGCGCTTGCGATTGTTGGTGTGACTGTTGCGGATGCTGCTGAGACTGCTGCTGTTGCGCGTGCTGTTGATGCTGTGTCTGCTGTTGTTGTTGATGTGAGTGCTGCTGTTGCTGCTGAACTCCAGACTTTTCCAGGTGATGCTGCTTCTGTTGCAGGCCAGCGGGTGAACCCGTCTGACTGCCTCTGACAAGTCCCCGCTTCTTCTGGACATGCTGCTGCTGCTCTTGTTGTTGCTGCTGCTGCTGAAGCGCCCTCTGGTGTAGTGAGTGACGCTGTGCAGGGTCAGGCTGTGTCAGATGATGTTGCAAATGATACAGATGGTGTCTCTGTTGCTCCTGCTGCTGCTGTTTCATGTAAAGGTTCCCTCCCAGATGCTGACCAGGCTGGGTTGCAGCATGCTGCGGATGACCCTGGGGCAGATGAAGCACCCCTGGCTGGTTCTGCTCAGGGGGCCCTTGAGGAGGGCAGTGACCATCTATGGGCCGAACTACTGGGCTCATGAAAGAGTTTGTGGAGAAGAGGGGCCCTCCGCTTTCTGAATTAATCCTCGTCATGACAGTGGAGGAGGTGGGCAGCAGCTGTCCCACCATCATCTGACTGTGATCTGGTGCTTTCACATCCATATGGCCAACAGTGCTCACTGATGGAGGACAAGGCTTGGGTCGTTTTCCAGTGTTTAGCATCACTGCCTCCTGGGCCTGCCGCTTGGAGATGATTTTCACTTGTCGTTCGCCCACACCAACTCCAGCCTGAGCCCTCATTAGAGCAGTCTTTAAGGGGGTGTACTCATTCGGCGGGGCTGC